TTTTTTTTTAGGACAAACTAGTGGTCTAATAATTAGCATGACAATCGTTATCTAAATTAGATAACTGGCAGAAAATAATCTCGCCCTGCTTATCAATATCATTCCACCCATTGAATTGTTAAGAAACTCCAGAGCTAATTTCACCTCCTTCAAACAAAGAATGAGCACAGAAAAGTGAATAATTGTCAATTATAACTACATTAACATGATCAAATGAAGCTTTCACCATAACATGTTCAAATGGAACTTTCGCCATCACTTTAAATGAAATTGTCTAAAATAAATGTTTTTTTACTGTTCATCAACCTTTTTTAGCATCTCTATCGCTTCTTATTAAGTTAGAAAAGACAAAACCTTTTCCATTTGTTACCAAATAAATGTTAAAAATTGAAGACTGCAGAACTCAAATGTCCACTCCTGTCTCCTAACACAAGTTATCAGTATAATATTCGCTACTGTACACTTAGGGTTATGGCAAAAAATAAATGTGAAACATACCAATCTGACCAAGAAGTTCAACTTTGATTCCGTTGTGCTCAACCTTCTTTCCCGAAACTGGTTCGATAGAAATCTGGGAAAATGATATGCAAATGTATACACGTGATAGATTCGTCAAATTTATACATCAAAATAACTTTTGAACCAGAATTCATATGTACATAAAGATGGCAAAAATAATGGAAAGAGAAATACCTTGCCAAGAATGTTTTCTTGACTTTGGAAAAGCGGGACCATTAATGTTTGGCCATTCTCCTTCTTCAACGGAACCTATTGGAACATTAAGATAACCAAGAGCAAAAATGTTAAGATAGGGAATTACATTAGTATTTATTGTTATAGTATCCACTGCCAACAAAAGAGTCAAGGGAGCAAACAATATAATAATAAATTGCTGAATAAATATGATACAAAGGTTTGTGAAAATAACAATCCCTTCCTCCCACCCACCCTTGTTCGCCACATGCACATATTCATGCACCAATCCCCCATATTGCCTTTGTACAGACCATATCTTCCATACAGAGAACTGAAATTTTGCAAATTATTTCCATCAAAAAGAACCAGCTACATAAATGACAAAAACAGAAGCTTGCATGTTGTATATGCCTCCCATTTGAATATAAAGTCAATGCCCACCAATGAAAAAATTGTAAAACCGTGACAATAGGTGTACCTGCTTTCGGGACTTCCCATCAGAAAATGAAACAGAAATGTGGCAAGCGGGCTTAAAAGCTCCAATTATAAAATTCTGTAGGCAAAAGCTCAAAACCATCATAAAGATTTTAAATAATAATAATCAGGGTAGCAGAGCGGGGAAAAGGGGAAAAAGACGCAGA